GTTCTAACTCTTGGTGAGTGCTAGGAACATAGGGTCTTGTACCTGTCTTGTGTTTCCATGTATGTGTCTTCACATTATGGTTTGTGTCTCCCCCTGTCTTCTTTTTAGCACTAAGATCAGGCACATCCCTTTTGTTTGTCATTTCATCAAGGTTATTTTCAAGTTCAGGTTCAGGTCCAAGTTCAGGTTGTGCTAAAGTACATAGTGGTGTGACATCAAGTTGTGTTAAGGTAGGTAGTGTGACTTCAGGCTGTAGTGTTAACGTCTGAAATTCACTCCAAGTCTCCCCCTAAATTGAGGACTAAGAGTAGAAAGGAATATTTTCATGGAAAGTAACATCACAGGTAACAAAGAGGCGCTTAGTAAGAGGATCAAAGCATTTATACCCCTTTTGAGAGGCAGAATAGCCCAGAAAAATGCAGCGGACAGCGTTAGGGTCAAGTTTCAAACTGTGATGTAGATGGACATAGGAAGTGCATCCAAAAACTCTCATAGGAAGGTTATTTTCAAGGAAAGAAGAGTTGTAGGTTTGGTAAAGAAACTGTAATGGTGTTTGGAATGATAACATTTTGCTTGGTAAGCGATCTATGAGAAAGGTGGCAGTGAGAACAGCATCATCCTAATGATATTTAGGAACATGGCTGCTGAACAATAAAGCTCTAATGACCTCTAGGATGTGTCTATTTTTGCATTCAGCAATGCCATTCTACTGAGGCGTTTTAGGACAGGTGCTTTTATAGATAATGCCATAAGTTTTGAGAAAACTTGTGAGGGAAATATTGAAGTGTTCAGTACTATTGTCAGTGTGTAGAGTTTTTATGGGAGTCTGAAATTGGTTTTGTATCATGTGATAGAAATTGATGAAGACTAGGGAAACATTTGTCTTGTCTTTCAATAAATAGACCCAACTAACTCGTGTGTGATCGTCAATAAATGTGACGAACCATTTAGACCGAGTTCGATTTGGCGTTCAGGATGGTCCCCATAAATTGCCATGTATGGTTGTAAAAGGATGAGATGCACAATATGGCATACTAGGGAAGCAAGTATGGTGATGTTTGGCCATTTCACAAGTCACAATAAAAATTGGAACACTATTTATTAGAACAAATAGAAGGGAACAATTTTGACAAATATTTAAAATTTGGGTGACCTAACCACTTGTGTCATAACTACAATTCACTAGTCCTAGGGAGAGACACTTTATTGCAGCTTCTAACATCACGTTTAACTCATTCATCCAGGTAATAAAGCCCGTTGAATTCTCTAGCACTGCTAATCGTCATCCCCGTCAATAGAGCCTAAAAAATACAATGATTTGCAAAGAAATCAGCATGGCATTTCTCAATTTTTGCTAGCTGGTTGACACATAACAAATTACACTTTTACTTTGGGACATGAAGGACTGAATGAAGAGTAAGAGTTGGAGAGATTTTAACACTCCCAATGCCCGCAACAATAGACTGTGACGCATCAACAATCTGAACAGTGATTCTAGTTTTACAAGTGTGTAGGTAGTAAAGATATTGTCATCATCAATCATATGATCAGAGGCACCCGAGTCAACAATCCAACAATTTCCAATACACATACCTTTGATTATGGTCAAAGCATGAAAGAAATAACCTCGCTGAACCACAATAGTAGTAGGTTGTTTCGGTGGCCGTGGGTTGTTTTGGAGGGCATTTAACATGTTCAAAAGCTGGTTGAGTTGCTCTTGAGAGAAAGTTGGTTGCTACTGTACTTCTTCATTCTTTGTGTCAGCAACATAACCACGGCCCTTTCCCTTCTTGGGTTTCCAATCAGGAGGCATACCATGAAGGTCACAGCAAGTATCTTTAGTATGCTAATGTGTCCCAAGCCAGAATCACAGCAAAGAGTAATAAATAAGACAGCAACAGCAATAAATATGAGAGCAAAATACTTAGGTTTCGATATTAATGAGATGAATAACCAAATCAGATGTACATGGGGACTTTGATTCTGGCCCAAAACCCTATTTCCTCTAAAAGATGATAAAACACTTTAGCAACACAGATTACAAGCTTCAATACAAGAGTCTCACTCCCATTGGCATTCGAGAGGCCAATCTCTCCTTACTATTCCACTCTCATTCTTCTTGGCCCTCCCTTCTTAAGCAAAAGACTACTAATACCTTCAATGGCTGACACATAGCCCATACTACCCAAAAGATCCCAATCATTACAAAAGATCACAAAATACTGTTCCTTACGGCTATAACCGAAGGGTAAACTTCTAGACTAGTTCAAGTATTTCCACTAGAGTTATTCTTCCCCTTTGACTTCCTCTGATATGTCTTAGGAAAATAAGGGGCCTTATCATATGCCCAGTCTTCTTACAATGTTGGCAAACAATTTTTCCTTTGTTTTCTGATCCCCTGAGCGAGCAGCGAGCACTGAAGCTTCAAAGGAATTAGAACAAGGCGTTGAGTTATCTTTCAACATGACCCCTCGTTTAGAATCTTCCCGACGGACAATAGCAAATGCTTCATGCATTGAGGGAAGTGGGTCCAAACTTAGGATTCTTCCACGAACATCATCCAACTCAATAGTAAGACCTGCAAGGAATTCAAACAAACACTCCTTTTCCACACGTTTGTGAAACCTGACAGCGTCCTCAGAGCACTTCCACTTTTCTTCAGTGTTCATATCAAGTTCTTGCCAAAGAGACATTTTTTCTAGATAATATTCATTTAGAGTTCGAGTACCTTGTGTTATCTGGCAAAGTTTTGTTCAAATCTCAAACACTTGGAATGTGTTTTCACCATCCGAGCATACTTCTTTGACAGCCTCCCATATCTCACGTGCACTAGGTAGGAACATGAAGCTTCTCTTTATGGTGGGTTGCATAGAATTGATGAGCTATCAAGACATCATAGAGTTTAAAGACTTCCACAGTTGTAGAGCTTTGTTGTTCAATGCATTTAGGGTCGTGAATTTCCCTTGAAATATATCCCAGCTTGGCCCAACCTTCAATGGCGAGTTTCATGGATTGGGCCCACTCTCTGTAATTATCTCCAAAGAGTTTTTCAGGCACTAGCAAGACCATCGATCCTTTGAGGGCAGCAGTTATAGAGTTTCCGCCACCCTGACATGGATTGGTTCTCGAAGATCCCTCAAGGTCAAGCAACTCATTGTGCGTATGAGCATCTGACCGAAGGTTCTCCATTTCAGCCTCAGACACATGCTCGACTTCTCCCTCCTACTCTAATACCATGAAGAAACAAGGAGTAGGAGAATTTTCTATATTTCCACAAGAGTCGGATGACTTGGTATATACCGCAGGGGGCTGAAAAATATGGCCTAAGAATCAGGGAAGGAGAGGTAACAGGAATCGAATAAAACCCCATCTAATAAAATAAAATATTTATAGAATAAAATATTTATTTTGAATATCTACAATAATATTCACCAATGATCATCTTGAGGAGATAGAAAGGGTATAGATTGCTCTTAGCAAGGAATTTGAAGTCAAAGATCTTGGAAAGCTAAATGGAAGTTACCAAGTCAAGAAGAGTAATATATGTTTCTCAGAAAAAAATATATACTTGATCTTCTAATGAACACAGGTACGTTGGTTGCAAACCTATTGAAACTATTGGGGTCAAGAAATCGAAGAATCCTAAGCTCGAGAGAGGTGAGAAAGAAGAGGAAAAGGCCGAAGAAAAGGAAGAAGTAACCGACAAGGAGATATATGAGACTTGTTAGACAACTAATATATCTTTACAATACAAGGCCAAATATAGCTTTTGTTGTTAGTGTACCCAGTCAATATATGAGCTACCCAATGAAGAGTCAAATGGAGGTAGTTTACAGGATTTTGATATATATGAAAGGTACACCTAGTAGAGGGTTGCTCTCTAGAAAACATGAGCAAAGATCCATAGAAGTTTACACCATTGCAAGTTGGGATGGAACCTATAAAGATCAAAGGTTAACCTCTGGATATTGTTCATTCATGTGGGGAAATTTAGTCACATGGAGAATCCAAAAGCAAAGAGTAATTTCAAGAAGCAATGCCAAGGTCTCAAGGAATAACTGAGGAGTTGTGGCTGAAACGTGTCTTAACTGACATACAAGTAGGAGCAAGCTCACTATTAAAGCTCTACTGTGACAATAAGGCTGCTATAAGCATGGCCTTAATTCTAGTATAACATGATAGGTCTAGACATGGAAAGATAAACCGACACTTCATCAGAGAAAAAGTAGAAGAGGGAATTCTATGTTTGACATATTTGCCTACAAAGTTGCAATCAACTGATGTTTTGCCTAAAAGGCTACTTGGACCTGCATTTGATAATTGTATAAGCAAATTGGACAAAATTAACATTTATGATCCAACTTGAGAAGAAGTGTGGGAATATTTGACACTTATTGTAAATATTGTATAGCCTTTATTAGTATTTATTAGGCTTTATTAGTAGTTATTTCCCCTCCTATATATATAGCCAACATCTACCTCAGAGATTATCGTCAATCAAAAATATTCTTCTCTCAAAATTCCACACTCGACTTTTGCTGTATTGTAGCATTTAATTTTACCATGATTTTCAACTATGTTAGTGATGTGAAACCCTATTTACCTTTGTAATCATATCTGAAAGGAAATAAAAAAAGATTCTTAGAAAATTATCAAACAACAATAACAAGAAAAATCACTACAGCTACATGCCACTATTTCTTCATATCAAAAACCTTTAATACTCCTTTCACATGTGAAGTGTGACAACTGTTTGACAACAAATTCTTCTCCTTAAAAAAGCAAACATCAACTCAGTCTTTAACTTTGATTTACAAGGACAAAATAAGGACTTCATCTATTTTTTTGTATTAATATCAAAAGTTTGAAATTTGAGAAAAAGGTTTAATTTTTTAGATGCTAAACACCATGTTAATATTTAGACAATCAAAATCTAAAATTAAGAAACTATATTAGTAATAACTATTTAAAAAATTGAGGATTGTTTCAGAGTAGCATACCTCAACTCGTCCATGCAATACAATGACAATATCAGATAGATTATTTGCTTTCACTACTTCATTTGCCTGCTTACAAAAGAACAGGATCAATTAAAACCAACAAATCAAGCTCCCAATGCTACTAAAAATTATAAACATTTAAGAGGAATCCTCAACCATCTAAGTTACTTAAGGAACAAAAGAAGTGAGCACCTATATGCTAATATGATCTTTACTTCTCCATCCTTATTTAGACACTCCAGTTACTTGTTTTGTTAGTGATTACTTAGGCCAATAATTTGGATCTAGACATTGTGTTTATTATATTGTTTGCATGTTTACTTTATAATAATAAGATCCATGAATAATTATAGAATTATTCTAAGCACCCTAGTCAATCATTATTGTGGAAACAATAATGAATTAAACCCAATATGATTTTGATTGATGATCATGAAATGAGAAGCATGGACTAGGTCATTAGTGTATCATATTATAGTTATGTCATTGATTCCTAGATGAGAGAGTGTTGTGCTTTGACATAATCAAAAGTCGCCTTTGAGGTTGTGATTGAGCACAGTAGGATTCAGGTGAAGGAAGGTGAGTGATCAATATGGGATTTGTCCCTCTCTTTGATGCTTGTAAATTAGCAAGGCATGTCAAAAGCTCCTATTCCCCAAAACCATTAAAACCTACACAACCTTTTGCTACTGTCCATAGTGATATCCGGGGTCCCTCAAGAATTCCAAATCTATCAAAAACAAAAGGGTTTGTCACTTTTATAGGTGACTGCACAAGAGTCACATGGGCATTCCTAATGACAAATAAATCTGATGTCTTTGAGATTTTTAAATCATTCCATTTCTTGTTATTACACAGTTCCAAACTTCCATTAAAGTCCTCAAAAGTGACAATGGCAATGAATATTTGAATTCTCCATTTTAAAATTTCCTCAAATCACATGGAATCCATCACCAGAATAGGAATACTAAGAGGAAACATAGACAGCTTCTAGAAGTTGATAAAGCGATGATGATAACCAGAAATTTTCCAAGTTTCGTCTGGCACGATGCCATTCTTACTTCAGCTTCCCTATTCAATAGGATGCCCTCAAAGGTATTGAACTTTGCTACTCCCTTACAAAAGTTTCTTGAATCCTAACCAAATTCACCTATCATTTTCAACATACGTCAAAAAGTTTTTAGGTGTATTTTGTTTGTTGACCATGAGGAAAGGGGAAAGTTTTTAAGTGTACTGTCCAGATTCCTGAAAAATATTTGTCCATGAATGTTACTTTTCAAGAAGAAAGCCCCTTCTACCCAAAACTGCCCATTCAAGGGGAGAAAGAGGTAGATGAATGGCTAGTTTCAGATTCTGGCAATGAAATCCTATCTAATGTTCAACCTAAGACCTGAAAACACCAAAATCCCACCACAGACCTGAAACAGACCTTGAGAAGCCAAATTGCATTTCTAAAACTGACCCCGAGAATCTGAGTTTATTTGAATCTAGCCCGGAATGGTCTGACCCTGGCCAAAGCAGAACCAAACATAATTCTCAGCATGATTCTAACTTTAATTTCAAGGCTCAAGAGGAAGAGGGAATGAGTGCTAACACTAGTTATAAATGAGAAACAAGCTCACAACAGTTCCAGAATGCAGAAATTCAGAACCAGCAGACTGAGGAAGTAGAGACCACTACCATTCCTGAACACAGTCAAGAAGTCAACCTGAATATAAATCCTAGAGGGTATGATGACCTCAGCTGCCCTATAGCTTTGAGAAGGAGATAAAGACACGTACTAAACATCCTACTCAGAAACATGTTTCATATGGAAAATTGTCTGCTCATATGTGAACCTTTGTGGCTAACCTTTCAACTGAAAAAGTGCCAGAAAGTTTTCAAGAAGCTATGGCAGATTCAAAGTAAAGAGAAGCTGTTAATGAAGAATTAAGGGCTCTTAAGAAGAACAAGACATGGAAGATAACCACACTTCCAGAAGGAAAAACTAAAGTAGCAAATGGGAGTTTACTGTTAAATACAATCCTGATGGTGGTGTGAGCAGTTTACAAGGCTAGACTGGTGGCTAAAGGTTTCACACAGACATAAAGGATTGATTATGAAGAGACATTTGCACCTGCAGCAAAGCTGAACACTATCAAAGTAGAAACAAATCAAAAATAAAGATAAAAAAAGAAAAGAAACTCAAACTCAAACATAAACACTAAACCATAGGGCAAAAACAGCTTATAACAATTAAAGAAGTGATATTTGACAATTACCTGCAACGCAATGTCACTTGCATCAATTGCATACACCTGCCAAGACAAACATACAGGTGGTGTCATGTTTGTAAAATGTTTCAATAAGTCTGACCCGTAGGTCATGCTCCAAACATAGAAAGAAAACTATGAAATCAACTTTTATTTAATGCTAATGTCCATAAAGCTATAAGAGGAAAGATATTAATGGAGTTTAGTGGGGAGAAGACCATCAGGTAGAATTTGGCATTGAAGAGAGAGATTTTGTTTCCAATAAATGGTTTCAAATTTACACAGACATTCCAGATTTGGTCAACCAATGAATTCAGCCAAATTTCTCGTAATCATTCCAAGATGTCACCCAAATACCAACATATGGCTCCACAACAAGAGCTAGTTATAAAACATTATTTTGGCACAATGGTTTAGGCCACCAAAATTTTCAATATATAAAGATGTGTTCAGATAAAATTCGAAATGTTGAGATGGAGTATGTGTTCAGATAAAATTCAAATGTTGAGATGGAGTAGCAAAGATGAGAAGGTTGAGATAGATGTGTGAGCATACATGTAAAGACAAAATTCAAAATGAACGAATATGGAAAATAGTGGGTGTGACACCTATTGAAGAAAAAATGGTAAAAAATTATTTTAAGTGGTTTGGACATGGACAACAAAGACCACGGGAGGCACTTGTGAGCTAGAAAGCATGGATACGCTAATTTTGGTGGCATATCCGTGTCCAATACGTATCAGGCATGGACATTCGCTCTGTGAGAGTATGTTCGTATCTGACACTTTTTTTTTTTTTGGGTGATATGGCTGGTCACAACGGGACACAACTTTGATGCAGCGGACATGGCTTCTATGTGGGACGCTGCGTTTTGTGTGAAAAATTTAACTAAATTCCTAATTCGCAAGCCATTCAGCAGTTCAAACGTTTTGGATCCTGCAATCTCTCCCCAATTTCGTTTGTCACTCTCATCCCTATCTGTGCTTTCTTGTTTGCGCCATCGTGAACCCATCCATTCTCAACTCGCAAGTAGCATCTCATTCTATCTTCTGTGGTTGCTTAGCTTGTCAGTCTAGTCAAGGTTCTCGACTTCTTGTCCTTTACTCGTCTCTTCTTCTCTCATCTCTACCTTCTTGAGTTCTTGGTAAAATATGTCACTGCTCTTCTCTGCCTACTGCGATAGCTTGAAACTGAAGCATATTATTATTTTATGTTGCTGCTTTTTTAAAAGTTTGACTATTATTTATATTATTAATTTAATATCCTGCTCTCCATATGCACAGAACCTGTTGCTCACTTTGTTTATTTTAGACTTAGTTTGACTATGATTCTCAATGGTCCTAGTCCTGTCTTATTTTAGTTTATTTCAATTTGTTTTTTCTTTTTTTTAATTAGATATGGCTACAATTAATAATTTTGGAGGAAGTATTAATTCAACATCATTATTCTTCTATGAATGAGCTACAAAAAGAATGTCACTTTGGTCACTTTGCATTTGGTTGAATTACAATGCACTTTTATTAGATGAATTGTTATTTACATTTATATAAAATTTTTTATATATTCCCATACCCGTATCCTAAAATTTTTAAAATTTGCTGTATCGTTGAATCATGCCATATCATATCTGATACTTGTACTCATATTTGTGCAGCCTAGCCTGTGAGGAGAGTGAAACAAATGACTTTGAGCCCTCTTAAAAAGAATAGAGGAAGACTAAAGAGAACATTTTTGGAGATTGTTGAGTGAGGCCTTTTAATTAACAATATTTCTAAAAGCTTAATAAATGATAGAGTACAATGGCATCATATAATCCATATAGCCAACCCCACTTAGTGGGATAAGGCTTGTTGTTGCTGCTGTTGTAAAGATGTGTTCAGACTTCAGAGATAATTAAAAAAATTCCTTGTATGTTTCTTCTAGGACCAGTTAAATGAAGTTCGTTGCCAATATTTGGTGTGTTAAAATAGCACTCTCCCATGCAAAAGGTCATTAAGGAGGATCTATCAACCAAATCTCATGGGTTGCTTTGTCCAAAAAGAAAAAAACAACAACAACAAAACAAAAAGATTATCACTTAATAAATTTACTTCCAACTTTTGGCAAATATACCAATTCCTAATCATAAAGAAATATAGATTTTCAAAATTCAATTTAAAAGATCTTACCCGCTTTGCACCAGCTTGAGCACAAAATATAGAAAGGATGCCAGTGCCACATCCAACGTCCACTACAACCTACAAGAGAAGAGCTACTCTGAGGAAAATCCCAAGGAAAAATATATGTAGAGAGGGAAGCGTTAACAATATTTCTCTAGTCAAAAATCCTACATGTTAGTAAATCCCTAATCCATTGATGCTCCTACTTAATTTCTAATAAAAGTTGTGAAGTGATTGTTAGCCTTTCAACAGTCTTCAACATCTTCATTTATTGTCAATATGGGACCTAAAACTTGGTCTTGGGGTCAAGTAAGAGTGAGGCAAGCAGATATTTTGTCCCCTAACCTTTTTACTTTAGAGATTTATGTGCACATGCTATCTATTTTACCTCAACAGGATGGGTTTCTAGTATCTCACTCCATTCCTTTCCCCCCATTTCCCTTTCTTTCTGAGGTCAGCCATGCAACAACATTGTCTGACGCATGCATATTCAAGGAAAAAAAAAAATACTTGTGAAACACACTGGAACAGATTATAGTGATATCAATGTCCAACACGCCAATACTTCTAAATGTAGGTGTGCCTGTTTTCCATATTTATCTATCAGCTTGTTTGTGAATGATTGATTTAACACAAACCAAAAAAATAAAAACAAAAAAGTAAACCAGAGAAATTTCAAATTCAAATCAGCAAAATGCTGAAAAGCCAGTGGAAGAATGATCAAGATCTCATCTCTGGTTTCTCTCTTCATTATTTTTCTTTTGCAGCAATATAATCAGGGATTTTGAAAGAGTAGCCACATGTAAGCCACTCGATTACAATCAAATCCCATGAAAGAGAAGGATTACAGCTTATATAATGCTTACTTAATCTAATTTAAAATGTCAAATACCAGAACAGATATTCCATAATGATTAAATCATTAAATCAATTATCTGTTAATCTAGAAAATTAGCTGTTGTTTCTTTTGGGCCTTAGGCCATCTTTAAACATAAAGGAAGAATTAGCAAAAGCACACAACTCCAAAAATACTATAATCACACATGTCAAAATGCACTAGAAGCTTCTGCTTTACTATGTTATTAAATAAAACACAATTTTATGCCCAACTCAATTAATGACATTGTGTTTTCTAAATTACTTTTCCCGCAATATAACTCTGGTATTGTGTGATTGCTGATCTGTAAGTTTCAGTCCGCACCCGATCCTGTACAAAACAGAAGGAAAAAAATTAAGAAACAGAAAACTAAAAAGAAAATAACCTTAAAACACAGCTTAAAATTACAATACTGAGCACTGCATCACACTTCGAATTAACCACAAAATCTTGAAAATGCAGTTCAGCTTTCACACCATGAAACACCCAAGAGCCATCAAGTATATACTATTTCAGAACTCCTCAAAAAACAAAAGAGTATAAATGTTCTTCCCCGCTGCCTATGTTCCCAGTCTCCATGCATGCGACTTTCTTTGAAAATGAACCTTTGTAAGAAATCCCATTCAAGGGGAGAACCAACCTGTGATGAAATGATGGTATTTTTTCACTTAGAGATACCTGGGATCCACAATGATCCTCGTACTGTTAACATTGGACCTAGACATATAGCCTTAACCAAACCTGCTACTGGACCTCAAACTGATAGCCTGTACCATGAACCCAAGATCAACATAAACCCAAGACCACAAGTCAGATGGATGTTCAATATCACAAGGCAGAAATGAGAGAATTGGCACTGCTCAATTGAAAGATTATGTTGGTGCATTCCAGGAGGATGGAAAATCAGGAAATTGGGGCCCATGAATCTCCCAAGCAAGGTCATTCCTCCACTCAACCCAGGTATGGGTATTCTTGCTGATAATGATTCCTGGATCTTTACATTCCTTTAAGACAGGGTCTTAGGTCCTGTACTAATAACCCTATTGGAAATTATATATCATGAGATAATATGATAATATGTTTCCTAATTGTCAAGCATCTATGACTAAAGTTTCAAGTGAGGAAGTTCATAGAAATATCAATGAAGCTTTGCAGCATAACAAATGGAGACAGACAATCCTAGAGGAGATGGATGCTCTGTTGAGGAATGGAACTTCGGATATCACTCATCTCTTCTAAAGGAAGAATGCCAATTGAGTGTAAGTGGGTTTTAAACATCAAATACTATGAAGCATTTTGAACCTACCGCTGATCTCTTCCTGCCCATGTTGGACAAGTACCAGTATGAGTGTTTAACATGGTATAGATGAAAGATGCGATAACTTCAGTGAGGAAAATATTAGGTTAATTTTATTTAAAGGCGCCCTTGCTAGTCTACCCCTATTTTATCCAACAAATAGAAACCAGTAAAAACTTTGGCCCTCATATAGAGTCACAAATCACAACTAAAAACAGAACTTTAGTAATCAAGTTTACAAGGGATAGACGTTCACTATTATGTAATTTCCACACTACAAACAACTAATGTATTGTGTGTTTGTCTATAGACCAATGTTTTCAAAACCAAACCGAACATTAAACCAAGTAAGGCATTGATTCAAGGTTTAGTAGTTGAACAATGATCAAACTAGTCTTAATTAAATTATCATATTTTAAATAATATATATGAAAAATAAAAGTAACTTGGGCAATATTTAATTATAATGATAGAATTAGATTAGATAAAATTCATTAATGTATTTGTTCTTGATCAAATTAATAAATTTTTAGTTTTATATTGATTACTTAAAAAAAATGAAAATGAAAACAAAAATATCAAAAATAATAATTTTAAGTATTAGCAAAACAAAAAAAAAAATTTAAGGATTTCCTCATTTAAAAAATAAATATCAAACCTGCCTAGACCTATTAGAATCACTTGGCTCACCTATCCATTGGAATTCTTAAACCTAAAATTGTAAAAAGTTGTCTTGGTGAAGGTAGCATGCAATGATGACTGTGCTGGAAGGGGTTCGAAGATCAGATTGATTGACATTGTAGAAGGTTTATGTTGTAGGAATGTAATCTGGAATGAAAGAGCAATAGCAAGGATTGAGAGAAAGAACAGAGAAGGAGAGAGATTCAGAGGGATGAGGGCAAGAGAAAGGGAGAGACAAAGAAGAGTGACTGAATAATGCGAAACATTATCATTAGGAAATCACAGATTGAATTACATAGGTATTCATCTATATATAGGTTTCTAACTCTCACCAACCGCCAACAGCTATTTATTATTTGATCACTAACTAAAAGTAACTAATATTTCAATATTACAATTACATAACAGGTTAAGATAAGAAAAAGAGGAGATAGATTAAAAAATGAAAAGGAGTAAACTTAGGTACTTAACTTTATATACTTAAAGTGCTTGTGCTTGCTTCCAATCAAATCAAGGTATGCAGATTTTTTTAATATTATTTATCATATAACAAACTCTTTTTATTAATATTGTAAGTGCTTTCACTTGTTTTGATTTAATTGAACAAAAGCTTATAAAGTATATAAGCTAAGTACATAAGTCTTATCCAAATGGGAAAAAAACATTTGCCCAGCCCATTAAGTCTAAGTCTCTCACTATTCTCTACACTGTCTCTCCAGCAGCTATTCCTCTAACAAAGAAGTCATCACTCCATGTCGCAAATCAGCTCATCTTGCATGCTCTTGTGAAATATTGAGTCAATCCTCCTCTTGATGGGTCATTTTCTTATATGATTTTGTTCTTATTATTCAATTATTTGATTTCCTTCGTATTTCATTCTCTTGTTTCTTCTTTAGGTTTCTTCTGTGGAGTTCTACACTTCTGCTGTGTTCTTCTTTAATTGCCATGTTTTTCTTCTCATGAAATTTGGAACTGCTTAGCCTGACTAACCTATTGGTTTTATCAATTTTCACCTGTTCAAGACTAGTTCTACTAGTTTACTATTGGTTTACTTTCTGGTCAGTTCCCTTATAAGTCCAAACTAGACCAGGTGCCAATTCGCCAGTCTACCAGTTGAACCTGCTAATTCAATCTAGTTTTGACAACATTGCTGAAAACATCATAAGCCATTGAAGAGACCCAATCCAAGGGAAGAGTCCAAATTTCTAAGACAATAAATACAAACCTCTAGATTGGCATGCATCAAATTTGGTTTCTTCTGGATAAAAGAAGGGATTTTGTTAAGAGAGAAAAGTTGTGCAAAAGACAAGGAATGTGTATGAGGGTATCCTCCCGAGAAAACAAAATTACATGTTTTGAAAAAGAAAATATATAGATATAAATGTGTGCGTATATGGGTGTGTGTATATATATTAGGGGGGGGAAAGAAAGTTAAACATGCAACGGGGCTAACATAGTCCCTCAACATATCCAAAAGGATACTCCCCTCAAAAATCCTTGAGGGGAACACCACAAAGAAGCTCAAAGAAAGTAAATGCCCAGAGATCATCTAGAGAAAATGAGACACCTCTAAAAACACAATACACTGTTCCAAATAACGGCCAAGCCTTTAAATAGTACAAGGAGACACTAAGAACGACAAGAAGATATTCTTTCCAAATAGCGACATTTCCCAAATGACAATTGCACGTGCAGTTGTTAACATTTTTTTCACCAGGGAAGGTTGTTTCCTTTGGCTTCATACCAAACTAACGCTAATTTCATAGAGTAATGCTGAAAGAGATAGCACATTGTGTTGTCTGCTGGCCCAAGCATACCCAGTTGTTAGGATGTCTAAACAGCCAATTCTGCTTATGGCACACCCACTCACTTCAGCAATGACACGGAATACCAAATTCACAAGTAATGCTATGTTATGTTCGCAGACTTGCAGCAAGTTTGGTAACTAACTAAAAGGCCCCTTTTACAGAAAACCGTCTTTCGCTTGAAAAAAAACAAAATAACGGTCAAAAACTAGAAATGCTTCCCATTCAAGAATAAAGGAAGCTCTTCAACTGTGTTTTAAAAAAGGGGTTACTGTGTTTTAAAAAAGGTGTGAAGTAAGTTTCACGTTCAATAATAGAAAGGGTGTCGAGAAAGTTTTAAAAAATAAATAAATAAAGTTTAAGAAAGATATTTCAACCTTGATCATCTCTTCATGGATGCCAACGTGAGCATAAGAATGGAAATAAGCCATGTCGAAGTCCGTACAAGGAGGTCTGTGCTGTTGTTGCCGCTGTTCGCAAACCCTAAGGCTACTAGCACCGTCTCTGGAATCTCGTGACCTCCGATTTCCACGGCGGACTCGCCCCCTGCGACTCATCCCGAGCTGCTGCTGCTCCGGCATATGATAGCCGTTACTGTTACCGTAATTCGGACTCGAATTCATCACCGACACTCACTACCTTATTTGCTTTCACTTCGTCAATGGTAGCTAACCCAGGTTCAATGTAACCGGGGCGTTTTGTAGCAAGGCCTATTATCATCATTATTATTATTAATTGTTAATTATTAATAATATTATCATTAGGAAAAATTATTAATAATATTTTTATTAGGGAAAACTGGCTCTTACTATCCTGTACGTTGTACGGCGAGCATTAAATTAAATTATTAAATTTAAATCTATTTACTGAACATAATTTCTCTAAAATGTGTTTAATCACTAATTAAATTATAATTAACAACTTGTTAAATTATAAAAACTATTTTTTATAAAATTTATAGAAAAAGAAAGATTTAAAATGAGAATGAGACCAAAAAGTTCAATATAAAATAACAAAAAACTTATAGGAAATATGAGTATAGCAACACCCATATACTCCTCTAATCCTATTTATAACATAAAAAAAGAAAAAAAAAATGTGGTCATATTTATAAAACACTCATCAATTCTCAATGTTTATTTTTGCCTTATTAAATGCCTGGAATAAAAATATCACTAATAAATTTAGAAATATTTATTAGAAATAAAGGTAAGAATTTATTAAATTTTAAGGTAAAATTAGTATGTGTTTGGATACAAAAAATAATCAATATTTTGACCAAAATATGAATTCTCCACAAAATTATCCAAACACCCAACATTTTGGTTAATCCATTTTTGGGTTAAAAATTAATTTTTCCTGAAAGCTGAAAATCCTAGCTGCCGCAAAAAGCTTGCCAAAAAGCTTGGAGAGAATTACAAAGAAAGGTTCAAAAATAATTATAAAAATAGCACATAATTTAATAAAAATAAAACTAAACTCTCTTCCCTTCTCTTTCTTTTCTTAATAAAATTCAAACTTTGTATCTCAAAAAAATAATATTTGGTATTTAAAAATTAAATTATATAGTAATTTATATAGTTAAAATTAATTTTGATTAAATTATTTAAACATCTTCAATTCTATTATAATTAATTTAAAAAAAACAGTATCCAAACAGATTACATTATAACATAATCAATTATGATTAAAATCTACCACTTAATTAATTATTTTCATAATTTATTATACCTAACTAAAATCTAAACGGGTACTTAATGAGATTTAAAATTTTTTTTAATTTCAATAAAATATATTAAAAGTGATTAATAAATAAGATCAAAGGAGTACGCATTAAGCCTATAAACCTCAAAAGAAAAAGATACGAAATAGCCATTGGTATATGCATAATTCAACAGCCTAAATCCTTATAAATATAAAAAACTTGCCCACAGCTTCAAAGGAGTCTTATGCTTCATTGCAAGTTCAAAAAGTTGATGGTCATCATGGCATATCATCTTTTCCTAATACGCCATCTTTCATCCTAGTTTGAAAAGGCATAATTAATAGTAAGCATAGCGGGGCTTTTTATATTTGCAAGCTATAAGCAAATCTCTTGTGAGACTTTGAGGTGTATAATTGTTGAAATTTAAGATGTTTAACACTTGTTGAAATTTAAAGTTATTTATATTTTTGTAGTAGCTACTCTCTCAGTGTAATGCACATCTTAGGCTATGCTAATCAAAGAAGTATAATACTAGGGAACATCTTATCAAAATGCTAAGGAATTAATTTTTTTTCATTACAATAATTTGAAAAAGCAAGATAACAGAGACTAAATAAGTCTCTTTAGTCAAAAAAAGTTAAAGTCAATCTCACAACATCAACAATCAACAACTTTTATAAAATTAATAGCATAAATAAGTAATAAGAACAAAATTTTGTTTCTATCATAAAAATAAGATACAAAAATCATGATTCTATAGTCTATGCATGTTTTTTAAGTCAATTATTTCTACCATGTCAATTATTTCTACCATGTATCTAGCCAATAAAAAAAAGGTACTTCTACCATGAAATAATGCTCTTTCATGTCACATGAGTTAATTAGAATAAAGACAAATGGACAAACAATAGAAAAAGTCAAGGTTGGAAATAAATTTTGAGCTAAAAGTTAGGACACATGCTAGCAGACTTCTTATCCTAGTTATCATTATCTATACTGTTAACTTATTTAAGATATGGATTGGTTTTTTCTTTCAGTGCTTTAATGTTGCACAGGAAAAAAAACTATTTTCAATTTATCATTACAACTCTATGTTCTCATTATGACTTTGTTTTATTGATATATTAGCACTGTATTGCTTTGTAAAAGACTAAATTAAATATACTTAAATTTCATTCATTTATTGGGTGCACGAGCGACAAAGATAATGTTAATGCATTACTACTCAATCATGAAATTAGACACAATATTTGGTTCAAATTTGGTCTCTTTTGGACTTATTCTAAAGTTTATGTACCATTCAAATACTTATTTGTGATTTTTTAGTGCAATGACAATCTTGGCCTCTTCCCTTCTTATTCATTATTTATTGTAAATTACTTCCTCCGGTCCTATTTATAAAACATCTTCTAAAAATAATTTTTTTATCTAAAATATAAGATACCTTATAATAATTAAATTACTTTTTTTAATTTTACCCTTCTTAGTTAGCATAAAGGTACGTAATCACTATAACAAAATATGTTTTTTAAACCCCCATATCTAAACCGATTCAAACGCATACAGTTTAAAAATAGGAGGCGGTGGCATTATCATACATAAATGGACAGTTGAGATGATATCTATCCTTAGTAACCGGTTTAGAAATTGATATCTAAACCGGTTATAATATATAACCGGTTTAGATATCTATTATATTTTAAAATATTTTTTTTAAAGAGACATCTAAACTGGCTATAAATTACAACCAATTTAGATATATATTTAAATTTTAAAAAAATTGTTTTATAACATAATTAAACTGGTTATAGTTTTTAACTGGTTTAGATGTGTTTCAAATTTTAAAAACAAAATTTTTTTTTAATATATCTAAAATGATTCTTTTTATAATCAGTTTCTAAATTTTAAATCCTCAAATCTTTAAAGTCCTGATCTTTTCCATCCCTAAACCTAAACCCTATGACTCTTCTCATCCTCTTCTCTTCAGTGTCACTGCTCTACCATTGTTAGGTTTCTCTACTCTAGATCATGTCGTTTTATCGTCTCCTACCCCATATCATGTTGGCTGCTCCAGATTCAAGGCCATATGATTGATGATCACAAGGTTATACTCAAACAATTCTTCGACCTTTCATCCGATAGCAAAGTTGAGGATTCAATACACAAACAAGTCTTTGCTATTCGAAATGGTTCATTTTCCTCCCTTTTCTCACTCTCAATGTGTTCCCCCAATCTTCTAATTGCACATATGTTCAAGATTCCAAATATCGTGAACCCTCGATTATATGATTTTTTTTACTTTGTTATGATTTTATTTCAAGGATTGGCCTATTTTTGATTTGTTGTTCATTTGATTGTTTTCACATAGCTTGGCATTGGAACTTTCTTGCCTGGCTTGGTTGCTACAAAAGTAGGATCTGATATCACTCTTATAAATGACTCGAGTAGATTAGAAATGTTTCTTATTAGTTTAATCTTGTTTTAAAGTCTATCAATGATACTTGAGCATCATAATAAATTGACTTTTGGATTTGCAATTTAAGATCTTGGTTATCACTACTTGCATAGTTTTGATTTATAGTGAAATACGTTAAATGCTCCTTTTTTAGTATACTTTCATTTCAATTGAAGTGGACATAAAAATTGATGATGTCAAATTTGCACTCCATTTTGTTTTTTTTTTTCGATTTTCAATCAACTGTAAGAGTTGTCTTGGGTTCAGTTTATTAATGACTTGCTAAGTTTTTGCTAAGTATATGGGCTAAAACATTGTAACCAATTGATAGTAAGAAGGATTTTAAACTATTCTCTTTTGGAAATGTGAATTTATTTGATGGGCTAACTTGGCATCTGGAGACAACATGAAAGAAAGAAATATTACATGATAAAAAACATAGTTTTCACCCAACCTTGTTTGACTATTATCTATCGTGGCTGGAACTTCTATACCTGTGAGTTGATTGTTAATTGTATTGGAGTTGCATGTACTTGACAACATGTGATTACAAGATATAAAGTATGTACTAAAATCTACCACAAGAGAATTTATACTAAATAAAACAAGCAAACAATGAGCAAAGCAATTCATTTTCGAACTTGTAATACTCATAGTTTGAAGCTCATATTTGATACCCTTCTTTGAAACTAGAAAACAAAAAGGAAAGTTATATTAAAGTCCTATACAAGAAAATTAATTACTGCAAGGAAAAATTAATTAAAGCAAGAACATCACAAAATACAGAGAGCCTAAAAACAAAAAATACAAAGAAAATCTCTTTCATCATACTTCATTCACAAGAAAGATGGTTTATGATCAAAGATATGAAACTCATTAACTAAACTATGACCTAATCTAGCTAGCAAGACTATTAGCAAAATAATTTGCCTATCAAATTAACGAATATATCCCAATCCTTACACAATAAATTGATAGCATCTTGAATGATGTCAAGATAAAAGTAGTTGAGACTTATGGTCTGTTAATGAGGTTGATTGCCTCCAAGTTGTCACAAAGGACTTCTATATTTTTCAAACCATAGAACTAGCATAGTTTAAACACAAGCTATAATAGGGAATAGAGAGTCTAGAATTACCATTAAAGATCAAAAGCCATTGACCTTAGGCATTCCTAATGGTGCCCTCACATGTAGCTTGACATATTTAGAGTTAGAATCAATCCCACAAAAGCCTTTGTGTGTATGTGTGACTCACATGTACATTGAGATGTCCAGAATGCACAAATGGAGTCCACTTTATTATTGTTAGATAGTAAATTGGTTTTGATGTGGATTATCAGCTTTTAAATTTACCTCTAAGATCCTTTTCTGGATTATCACCCCGATAGAAGCTACAATCAAAGTTGTAACTTCTTCAATAATATCAGGAGCTAGTCTCACATTTTGCTCAAAATCAAGATCAACATCCAAAGCACTATTCATGGGTCTCTTGGTTACAGTCACCTATCACTAAAA